CCGGAGCTGCCCGTAATCCCGGTCCTTCCGCGTCCCCTTCCCGGTTCCTGTCCCTCCAGGTGATCCGCAGGGGCTGGCTCACCATCAACAACATCAGCATCATGAAGGGCGGATCCAAGGAATACTGGTTCGTGCTCACGGCAGAGTCCCTTTCCTGGTACAAGGATGAGGAGGTAGGTGTGGAAAAATCCTTGGATACTCTGGGAAAAAGGAGCATTTTTCCTAACTCCCAGGCTTGGAGTGAAAAAAAAAATGATATTTTTTCAAATTAAGATACTTAAATTGAGGGGGATAAACCCCCAAATTGTCCCGGGACCGGAGCATCCGCGTGTCCCGGAGGAGCCCGAGCTCCGGCCCCGCCAGCAAATTCCCTGGCTCCGGATGCTCTCCCGGAGCATCTTTATCTGTGTTTACACAATTTACTGGGATTGCATAAACACAGATAAAGCGGGAGATTCCGGCAGGGACAACGGGATCCGGCTGCCTGGGTGGCCTCAAGCGGGACCCCCGCCCCCTCCTGCCTCTTTTGGGGAGGATTATTGGGAATTTGGGGTGAAGGATTAAGGCAAGATCTGCCACCCCTCCGGAGTCCTCCCGTTATCCCAGCCCCAAGGGCTCTTCAGCTCCGGCTTCTCCCGGAGCCGCTGCAGGATGCGGCCATCGGGAAAAGGCTCTGGGAAGCGCAGGACCCGGAGCCGGCGTCTCGGCCGCGCCGCCTTGGAATCTTTTTTCCCGTTTTTTCCCGGTGCAAATCCAATTCCATGCCTGCTCCAGAGGGAAGCTCCATAGGGATCAAGGGAGCCACCGTGGCCCCTTTTCCTGCCTGGGAGCCTCTGGGATTCGGAATAAGGAAAAGCAGCCGGTGCCGAACGGGGCTTTGTGCGGGTGGCCGCATTCCCGGCCACTTCCCGGCCGCTTTGGGGGCAGCAATCCCGCTTTTCCCCCCACCCTGGGAATAACGGGCGATGCCGAGCGGAGCAAGGGAATATTCCCGGGATTCCCCCTTACCTGAGGCTGCCGGGGGGGAATTGCCGCTTTGCCGGAGCGGGATAACCAATGTGCAGACTACTGTACAACGTGGCAGGCTCCTGAACAGGTAGTCTGAACACTGGGAAGCCCGGGCCGGAATCTCATCCCGCCGGTGCCGGAGTCGCCGCCTCCCGGGATTTTCCAGCGGGAGCGGAGCCGCCGGGCGCGAGGAAAACCGCTTTGTCCCTTCTGACGTGGCACCCGCGGCCGGGCTGGGAAGGGGAGGGAAAAAAAAAAAAAAGGGAAAAAAGGAGCCTGTGGGATTTTCAGGAAATGGTGAGGAGGAGTGTGGGGGGCGGGGGCGGCCCCACGTCACTTTTTGGGAGCGCGCGGACAAAGCGGAGCCGTAAACGCTTCCAGATGTGGGAAGGAGGGAAGCGGCCCCCGCTGCCGGCCCCGGCCCTGCCCGATTCCTGCTTTTTTTTTTTTTCCCTGGGAGAAACTGGCTGGCGCTCACCGTGGTTTCCCTCCATACCCTCTGTTTCCAGGAGAAGGAGAAGAAATACATGTTGCCGCTGGATAATTTGAAAATCCGGGATGTGGAGAAGGGATTCATGTCCAATAAGCACGTCTTCGCCATCTTCAACACGGAGCAACGGTGAGAGGCCGGGATCCGAGCCGGGTAGCTCCCGAAATCCCTGGTAGGGCCCAGAACACTCTGGGATACGCTCCGGCTGGACCGGGATATGCTCCAGCTGGACCGGGATACGCTCCGGCTGGACCGGGATACGCTCCGTGTCCTGGCCTCGGTGCTGATCCGGTCTCCGGCCACGTATCCGGCTGCGCGATCCCATGGATGAGGATCTCCCCGGAGGGAGCGGTGGCTCCCAGTTTTCACCCCCATTCTGCAGGATTTGGGGCTTCCTCCGGCTCCCGCTCCGGCCCGGAGCCCCTTCGGAGTGGCCGCTGGAGCCTCCGGCCTCCCCCTTCCTGCTCCATCTTTATCCCTGTCCCTCCTCTCCCAGGAATGTGTACAAGGATCTCCGTCAGATCGAGCTGGCCTGCGACTCCCAGGAAGACGTGGACAGCTGGAAAGCCTCATTCCTCCGAGCGGGAGTTTATCCGGAGAAAGACCAGGTAAACGTCTCCCCCGGGAGCCGGACACGAGCCGGGACCTTCTCCGCATCCCGGCCGGAGAAGCCACTGGCCTTAGAAACCCTGAGCTCTCATCCCAAATTCTCCATGTTTTCGGTCCCGGGGGTTGCAGTAAATTCTGGGAATCCCTGGGGCCGTGCGTTGGCTTCTCCATGTCCAAGTCTAGATCGGGATTCCTGGAAAACACTCGGATACTGCAGAACCTGAGGGAATTCAGTCTCTCTTTAGAACCTTTAGCTTTTACGCCATGGCCCGGCGCGATCCGACTCGGAGCGGGCCATCCCGGCGGGAATCCCACTAACCTGTGCCCTGCTCTCCCCGTGCAGACGGAGAACGAGGACGGCGTCCAGGAAAACACCTTTTCCATGGACCCGCAGCTGGAGCGGCAGGTGGAGACGATCCGGAACCTCGTCGACTCCTACGTGGGCATCATCAACAAGTCCATCCGGGACCTCATGCCAAAGACCATAATGCACCTCATGATCAACAACGTGAGTCCCGCATCCCGCCCGGAGCCGGGATGGACGCCGGGATCGAGGACGCGGAGGGGAGGGATTGGAGCCGTTCCGCGTGGAGCGGTTCCGCTCCGAGGAGAGGGATGGAGCGGAGCAGCCGTTCTGCCCGGAGCCGGGATAGACGCCGGGATCGAGGACATAGAGGGGAGGGATTGGAGCTGTTCCGCCTGGAGCGGTTCCGCTCCGAGGAGAGGGATGGAGCGGAGCAGCCGTTCTGCCCGGAGCCGGGATAGACGCCGGGATCGAGGACATAGAGGGGAGGGATTGGAGCTGTTCCGCCTGGAGCGGTTCCGCTCCGAGGAGAGGGATGGAGCGGAGCAGCCGTTCTGCCCGGAGCCGGGATAGACGCCGGGATCGAGGACATAGAGGGGAGGGATTGGAGCTGTTCCGCCTGGAGCGGTTCCGCTCCGAGGAGAGGGATGGAGCGGAGCAGCCGTTCTGCCCGGAGCCGGGATAGACGCCGGGATCGAGGACATAGAGGGGAGGGATTGGAGCTGTTCCGCCTGGAGCGGTTCCGCTCCGAGGAGAGGGATGGAGCGGAGCAGCCGTTCTGCCCGGAGCCGGGATAGACGCCGGGATCGAGGACATAGAGGGGAGGGATTGGAGCTGTTCCGCCTGGAGCGGTTCCGCTCCGAGGAGAGGGATGGAGCGGAGCAGCCGTTCTGCCCGGAGCCGGGATAGACGCCGGGATCGAGGACATAGAGGGGAGGGATTGGAGCTGTTCCGCCTGGAGCGGTTCCGCTCCGAGGAGAGGGATGGAGCGGAGCAGCCGTTCTGCCCGGAGCCGGGATAGACGCCGGGATCGAGGACATAGAGGGGAGGGATTGGAGCTGTTCCGCCTGGAGCGGTTCCGCTCCGAGGAGAGGGATGGAGCGGAGCAGCCGTTCTGCCCGGAGCCGGGATAGACGCCGGGATCGAGGACATAGAGGGGAGGGATTGGAGCTGTTCCGCCTGGAGCGGTTCCGCTCCGAGGAGAGGGATGGAGCGGAGCAGCCGTTCTGCCCGGAGCCGGGATAGACGCCGGGATCGAGGACATAGAGGGGAGGGATTGGAGCTGTTCCGCCTGGAGCGGTTCCGCTCCGAGGAGAGGGATGGAGCGGAGCAGCCGTTCTGCCCGGAGCCGGGATAGACGCCGGGATCGAGGACATAGAGGGGAGGGATTGGAGCTGTTCCGCCTGGAGCGGTTCCGCTCCGAGGAGAGGGATGGAGCGGAGCAGCCGTTCTGCCCGGAGCCGGGATAGACGCCGGGATCGAGGACATAGAGGGGAGGGATTGGAGCTGTTCCGCCTGGAGCGGTTCCGCTCCGAGGAGAGGGATGGAGCGGAGCAGCCGTTCTGCCCGGAGCCGGGATAGACGCCGGGATCGAGGACATAGAGGGGAGGGATTGGAGCTGTTCCGCCTGGAGCGGTTCCGCTCCGAGGAGAGGGATGGAGCGGAGCAGCCGTTCTGCCCGGAGCCGGGATAGACGCCGGGATCGAGGACATAGAGGGGAGGGATTGGAGCTGTTCCGCCTGGAGCGGTTCCGCTCCGAGGAGAGGGATGGAGCGGAGCAGCCGTTCTGCCCGGAGCCGGGATAGACGCCGGGATCGAGGACATAGAGGGGAGGGATTGGAGCTGTTCCGCCTGGAGCGGTTCCGCTCCGAGGAGAGGGATGGAGCGGAGCAGCCGTTCTGCCCGGAGCCGGGATAGACGCCGGGATCGAGGACATAGAGGGGAGGGATTGGAGCTGTTCCGCCTGGAGCGGTTCCGCTCCGAGGAGAGGGATGGAGCGGAGCAGCCGTTCTGCCCGGAGCCGGGATAGACGCCGGGATCGAGGACGCGGAGAGGAGGGATTGGAGCCGTTCTGCATGGAGCGGTTCTGCTCCGAGGGGATGGATTGGAGCGGAGCCGGCGTTCCACACGGAGCGCGGCTGGGAGCGGAGCTGGCGTTCCACGTGGAAGGGAGGGATTGGAGCCGTTCTGCATGGAGTGGTTCTGCTCCGAGGGGAGGGATCGGAGCAGCTCTGATCCGAGGGGAGGGAGCGGAGCGGCAGGAGCGCGGCCGGGAGCGGAGCCGGTGTTCCGCACGGAGCACGGCCGGGAGCGGAGCCGCTGTTTCCACATGGAGGGGAGGGATTGAAGCCGTTCTGCATGGAGCGGTTCTGCTCCGAGGGGAGGGATCGGAGCGGCTCTGATCCGAGGGGATGGATCAGAGCGGCGGGAGCGTGGCTGGGAGCAGAGCCAGCATTCCACATGGAGGGGAGGGATTGGATTGGAGCCGTTCCGCTTGGAGCGGTTCTGCTCCA